TTAGCCTGTTTTTCATCTACTAGGAGTATAGCAGTAAGGGGAGCTCAGGCTCTGTGTTTCTTCTTTATGCAAAAAAATACAATACTGCCAAAAGCCAAAAAAAAAAAAAAAAAAAGGACATGTGTACCCTACCTTATCAACCCACTTTGAGCAATTTTCCATTACCACTGTGTTTTTTGGTCAATTTTTTTTTAAACTTTTATTTAATGAATATAAATTTCCAAATACAGGTTATGGATTACAATGGCTTCCCCCCCATAACGTCCCTCCCACCCACAACCCTCCCCTTTTCCCACTCCCTCTCCCCTTCCATTCACATCAAGATTCATTTTCGATGCTCTTTATATACAGAAGATCAGTTAGCATACATAAGTAAAGATTTCAACAGTTTGCTCCCCACACAGAACATAAAGTGGAAAATACTGTTTGAGTACCCAGTTATAGCATTAAATCTCAATGTACAGCACACTAAGGACAAAGATCTACATGAGGAGGTAAGTGCACACACAGTGACTCCTGTGGTTGACTCTCTTAACAAATTTTGACACTCTTGTTATGGCATCAGTAATCACCCTAGGCTCTTGTCATGAGCTGCCAAGGCTATGGAAGCCCTTGAGTTTCTCCAACTCGTATCAATATTTAGACAAGGCCATGGTCAAAGTGGAAGTTCTCTCCTCTCTTCAGAAAAAGGTACCTCTTCTTTGATGACCCCGTTCTTTCCACTGGGATCTCACTCACGGGGATCTTTCATTTAGTTGTTTTTTTTTTTCCCCCAGAGTGTCTTGGCCTTTCCATGCATGAAATACTCTCATGGGCTTTTCAGCCAGATCTGCATGCTTAAGTGCTGATTCTGAGACCAGAGTGCTGTTTAGGACATCGCCATTTCATGGGTCTGCTGTGTATCTCACTTCCCATGTTGGATCGTTCTCTCCCTTTTTTGTTCTATCAGCTAGCATTTGCAGACACTATTCTGTTTTATGTGATCCCTTGGTTCTTAGTGCTATCATTATGATCAATTGTGAACAGAAATTGATCATGGGACTAGTGAGATGGCCTTGGTAATGCACCTTGATGGGATTGAATTGGAATCCCTGGTATGTTTCTAACTCTACCGTTTGAGGTAAGTCAGCTTGAGCATGTCCCAATTGCACATCTCTTCCCTCTCTTATTCCCACTCTTATATTTAACAGTGATCACTTTTCAGTTAAGTTCAGCACTTAAGAATGTGTTTTGATTACAGTATTCAACCAAAAGTATTAAGTTAAAACAAAGAAAAAATTACTAAGAGGGATAACATATTAAGCTGCTCATCAACAGTCAGGGTGAGGGCTGATCAAGTCACCTTTTCTCATAGTGTTCATTTCACTTTAACAGGTTTCCTTTTTGGTGCTCAGTTAGTTGTCACCTATCAGGGAGAACAAGTGGTATTTGTCCCTTTGGGATTGGCTTATTTCACTCAACATAATGTTTTCCAAATTCCTAACAGGGATCACTTTTCAGTTAAAATTTAAACACCTAAGAATAATTGTGTGTTAATTAAAGAGTTCAGCCAATGGTATTAGAACAAAAAGAAAATACTAAAATGGAGAAATATTACATTGTACATCAACATTCAGGACAAGAGCTTATCAAGTCATTGTTTCTCATAGTGTCCATTTCACTTCAACAAGTTTCCCCTTTGGTGCTCAGTTAGTTGTCGCTGATCACGGAGAACATATGATATTTGTCCCTTTGGGACTGGCTTAATTCACTCAGCATGATGTTTTCCAAATTCCTCCATCTTGTTGCAATGAACGGGTTTCGTTGTTTCTTACTGCGGCATAGTATTCGATAGAGTACATGTCCCATAATTTCTTTATCCAGTCTACTGTTGATGGGCATTTGGGTTGGTTCCAGGTTCTTAGCTATTGTGAATTGAGCTGCAATAACATTAATGTGCAGACAGCTTGTTGTTGCCAATTTCATTTGCTTTGGGTAAATTCCAAGGAGTGGGATGGCTGGGTTGATTGGTAGGTTTATATTCAGGTTTCTGAAGAATCTCCAGACTGACCTTCCATAGTGGCTTAACCAATTTGCATTCCCCCAACATGTGCGTTAGTGTCCCTTTTTTCCCCACATTCTCTCAGCATCTATTGTTGGTACATTTCTGAATGTGAGCCATTCTAACTGGGGTGAGGTGGAACTCATTGTGGTTTTGATTTGCATTTCCCTGATTGCTAGTGATCTTGATCATTTTTTCATGTGTCTGTTGGCCACTTGCATTTCCTCTTTTGAAAAATATCTATGAGGTCCTTGGCCCATCTCTTACGTGGGTTGTTTGTTTTGATGTTGTGGAGTTTCTTGATTTTTTTTGTAATTCTTGTTGTCAACCCTTTATATGATGCATAGTTTGCAAATATATTTTCCCATTCTGTTGGTTGCCTCTTCACTTTCCTGACTGTTTCTTTTGCAGTACAGAAACTTCTCAATTTGATGCAATCCCAAATGTTAATTTTGGCTTTGACTGCCTGTGCTTCTGGGGTGTTTTCCAAGAAGTCTTTGCCAGTACCTATATCTTGCAGGGTTTCACCAGATGGATTCACTGCTGAATTCTACCAGACTTTTAAAGAACTGACTCCAATTCTTCTCAAACTATTCAGAACAATCGAAAAAGAGGGAATCCTCGCAAATTCTTTCTATGAAGCCAGCATCACCTTAATTCCTAAGCCAGAAAAAGATGCAGCATTGAAAAGAGAATACAGACCAATATTCCCTGATGAACAGAGATGCAAAAATCCTCAATAAAATTCTCGTCAATAGAATGCAACAACATATCAGAAAGATCATCCACCCAGACCAAGTGGGATTTATCCCTGGTATGCAGGCATGGTTTAATGTGTGAAAAACAATCAGTGTGATACACCACATTAACAGACTGCAGAAGAAAAAAAAAAAACATATGATTATTCTCAATAGATGCCGAGGAAAGCATTGATAAAATACAACACCCTTTCATGATGAAACTCTAAGGAAACTGGGTATGGAAGGAACATTCCTCAATACAATCAAAACAATCTATGAAAAACCCATGGCCAACATCCTAATGAATGGGGAAAAGTTGGAAGCATTTCCTCTGAGATCTGGTACCATAAAGGGATGCCCACTCTCACCACTGCTATTCAATATATTTCTGGAAGTTCTAGCCAGAGCTATTAGGCAAGAAAAAGAAATTAAAGGGGTACAAATTGGGAAGGAAGAACTCAAACTATCCCTCTTTGCAGATGATATGATTCTTCATTTAGGGGATCCAAAGAACTCTACTAAGAGATTATTGGAACTCATAGAAGATTTTGGCAAAGTAGCATGGTATAAAATCAATGCACAAAAATCAACAGCCTTTGTATACACAAGCAATGCCAAGGCTGAGGAAGAACTTCTAAGATCAATCCCATTCACAATAGCTACAAAAACAATCAAATACCTTGGAATAAACTTAACCAAGGACGTTAAAGATCTCTATGATGAAATTACAAAACCTTAAAGAAAGAAATAGAAGAGGATACTAAGAAATGGAAAAATCTTCCATGCTCATGGATTGGAAGAATCAACATCATCAAAATGTCCATTCTCCCAAAAGCAATTTATAGATTCAATGCAATACCAATCAAGATACCAAAGACCTTCTTCTCAGATCTGGAAAAAAATGATGCTGAAATTCATATGGAGACACAGGAGACCTCGAATAGCTAAAGCAATCTTGTATAACAAAAACAAAGCTGGAAGCATCACAATACCAGATTTCAGGACATACTACAGGGCAGTTGTAATCAAAACAGCATGGTACTGGTACAGAAACAGATGGATAGACCAATGGAACAGATAGAAACACCAGAAATCAATCCAAACATCTACATCCAACTCATATTTGATCAAGGATCAGAAACCAATCCCTGGAGTAAGGACAGTCTATTCAATAAATGGTGCTGGGAAAATTGGATTTCCACGTGCAGAATCATGAAGCAAGACCCCTACCTTTCACCTTACACAAAATTCACTCAATATGATTAAAGACTTAGATCTACGACCTGACACCATCAAATTATTAGATAGCATTGAAAAACCCTGCAAGATATAAGTACTGGCAAAGACTTCTTTGGTGTCTCTTTGCGAGACACAATTCTTCATTATCCAATATATGCATTTATTTATTTTAAAAGTCAGCCACTTCTGTCCTAGGTGATGTTGAGGTCAGTATATACAATAGTCATTTTCACATGCTGCAGTGATCTGAATAAATTATCATGCAAACCTTAACAAGAATCTCACTCTTTTTTTTTTTTTTGACACAGACACATATGGTCCGCATGATTTTTTTTTTAATTAAATAGAGGTTGCCAGACGCTCGCCCGCGAGAGGTCCAGCGTTGTAAAGAAACAATCGCTGCTTTCTTGGTTCTCATGGAACTTTATTCATCCAGATGCAAGGCGAAAGAAAAGAAGCCAAGCCCTCATCCCCCTACACAATACTATCCCCATTATATACCCTAGGTTCCCATTAGCAGGACACTCCCAGCCAATGACAAGTCTGTTCACATGCAGTCCATGCAGGCACAGTCCAATCAAGTCGAAGGGCACATAGTGCCTCAGGTCGAAAGTTCATCTTGCTCCATTCCGGGTTGTTTGTGTCTTCAGGACATCCTGTGGTTAGCACTTCCTTGACTTGTTTTTCTCAGCAGCCAGCACTTCCTTAACTTGTTTTGCACAAGTGTTACAACCAGGCCAATGCAAACAGCAAAGTGAGGAAGTTCCCACAGGTGGCCAGCCTGTGGTCCCCCACAGAGGTATTTCTACATAGGCACATGAAAATTCATGCTTCTTGTACTTCTCGAATACCCTGACTTAAAGGATCTATTTTTGCCTTTTTTGTTTTTTTCTGATTTATGATATTCTGCCTCATTCAGCATTAGAATAGAACTGCTTATGGATTTCTGGAATTAGACTTGCATATTCCTTAATGGCGAATCAACAATTAAATATATGGAATAATCTGAAAGGCACAATTCTCAAAAACTGTGCCAATCTTGTCACATCTTGATCCAAAGTGCTTGAATTAAATGGAGAGCAGTCTGATTTCTCTGACACCCCATGGTGTGAAAGAGCCTCTAATCCCTCTTCTTGCTTCTTTCCTATCTTAACAAGCTTTTGATAGACAAACAAATAACTCTTTATGACAAGAAAAATCAGAAATGCTGCACAGGACACCAGGAACCCAACCACATCCAAAGAGTGGTACTGGAACCAGGTGAGGTCGTGGGCTGCAACCCTAAGGTGTTTTGCTCCTTTGTGCCGCATGACATACTCGATCCAGAAGACTGCCTGATCCAGGGGCTTCATGGGCTGATCATGGTGAATACTGGATAATGTCATGACATTCTCTTTATAGCTGAAGGGAAAACCAGTAGACAACAAATTACAGAATGAAATACAAAAAATTGATATCTGATATTTTCATGTAGATGATAAAATGCATGTCACTTAAACATGGAAGAAAAATGATATTTTCTTTGAGGGTTACCATACTGATCTTAACTAATAGGCTAGAATTTATTAGAAGCATAAGAAATTCAATGTGTAGATACTCAATATGTATATACAGAACTTGGGTTTGAATAAGTTTTGCCAACATTACACCCTAGGAATTGGGATCACTTAGTCCTAAATGTAAGAAGAAGAAAACACAAAAACAAAACCAAAAATTATTGAATGTGTAGAACTGGAATTATAGACTAGGAATTAGGGAGGATTTTATGTACAAGGTTCAAAACAATATCAAAATGCAGATGTAGAAGGTAGATCCATGAAAAAGTGCAGTTACATTTCTGGGCAAAGTCGATAAGGTTTGCACCAACCACAGTAGGGATATTGGCCTTGTATCCATGGATAAATGACTACAACTATTAAGGTATCATAGTGAATTAATTACATTGCTTTGAACCCTGATTCTGACACTTCCTTGTCCTTCCTATCAATTTCTCTATTCCTAGTTGTTCATTTCTAAATGGGATGGATAGGAATAGTACCTTTCTTATTCTAATGTTCTGAGTTCCTCTTTAAGTGATTCTTAGAATACTGTCAATTATTCTTTGCATATATTAGACCATCAATAAATGTTTTTTATTATTTTTGTTGTTGTTGCTGTTTTAGTATTATGATCTTAGCATCTAGAGAGTACTCAACATTTTACTTTGAGACATTGCAACTGCATTGTTGCTAGTGATAGAATGTAGCAATGTGGCTTACCAATCTGAACCGAAAAAGTGCTATAGCATGACATGGAAACAATCGCAGTGGAGGGAAATCCTCTTCCTACCATTAAGAATGCACAGGAGGAAGACAATTTTCAGAGGAGTAAATCTGAAAATCCAAGTTGTTTACCAATACCAGTAGCAGGATCAGAATGTTAGCATAGAAACGTGGCAAAGCAATAAATGTAATGGAAATTAGAAATGGACTATGACATGCTGGCTTCTGGAAAATAAGCCATTTTAGAATTTTAAAAAGAAAAATAAGTAACTACCATGTGAGATCATGAATATGTTAAGCTGCTTCTCTATAGAACCTTTTGACTATCTACACATAACCCATAACATCATGTTGTATACTTGAAATACACATGGTAGAATGTATTTTAAAAATACATTTTTAAACCTTTCAGTTAAGGTATATAAACTTCATGAATAGCATAAATGTAATCTTAGGAACACAGTGATTCTTCCAACAGTACCCACACTCCTACAGCTTTCCCACCCTTCTTCCTCTTCCCTTTCCTATTTTCATTTTTTTTTAACTTTTATTTAATAAATATAGATTTCCAAAGCACAGCTAGTGGAATACAATGGCTTTCCCCCCATAACTTCCCTCCCACCTACAACCCTCCCCTTTCCCTCTCCCACCCCCCTTCAATTCACATCAAAATTCATTTTCAATTCTCTTTATATACAGAAGATCAGTTTAGCATACATTAAGTAAAGATTTCAACAGTTTGCACCCACATAGAAACACCAAGTGAAAAATACTGTTTGAGTACTAGTTATAGCATTAAATCACAACGTACAGCACATTAAGGACAGAGATCCTACATGAGGAGTAAGTGCACAGTGACTCCTGTTGTTGACTTAACAAATTGACACTTGTTTATGGCATCAGTAATCACCCTAGGCTCTTGTCATGAGTTGCCATGGCTATGGAAGCCCCTTGAGTTCTCCAACTCTTATCCTATTTAGACAAGGTCATAGTCAAAGTGGAGGTTCTCTCCTCCCTTCAGAGAAAAGTACCTCCTTCTTTGATGACCTGTTCTTTTCCACTGGTATCTCACTCGCAGACATCTTTCATGTAGGTCTTTTTTTTCCCCCAGAGTGTTTTGGCTTTCCATGCCTGTAATACTCTTCATGGGCTTTTCAGCCGGATCTGTGTGCCTTAAGGGCTGATTCTGGGGCCAGAGTGCTGTTAGGACATCTGCCATTCTATGAGTCTGCTGTGTATCTCAATTCCCATGTTGGATTATTATCTCCCTTTTTGATTCTATCAGCTAGTATTTGCCAGACGCTAGTCTTGTTTATGTGATCCCTTTGAGTCTAGTTCCTATTATTATGATCAATTTGTGAACGGAAATGATCATGGACTAGTGATGGTGGCATTGGTACATGCCACCTTGATGGGATTGAATTGGAATCCACTGGTATGTTTCTAACTCTACTGCTTGAGGTAAGTCAGCTTGAGCATGTCCAGAATTGCACATCTTTTCCCTCTCTTATTCCCACTCTTATATTTAAGAGCGATCACTTTTCAGTTAAGTTTCAACACTTAAGAATAACTGTGTATTGATTACAGTATTCAACCAAAGTATTAAGTAGGACAAACAAAAAAAATACTAAGAGGTTAACATATTAAGTTGTTCATCAACAGTCAGGGCAAGGGCTGATTAAGTCACCATTTCTCCTAGTGTCCATTTCACTTTAACAGGTTTCCTTTTTGGTGCTCAGTTAGTTGTCACCAATGAGGGAGAACATATTGTATTTGTCCCTTTGGACTGGCTTATTTCACTCAGCATAATGCTTTCAAAATTCCTAACAAAGATGACTTTTCAGTTAAAATTTAAACACCTAAGAATATAAAAATAACATCTTATAAATGCCCTTGTTGAAGGGTCCTTGCTTTGGCATAGCGGGCAAATCTACCTCCTGCAGTGCCAGCATCCCCTATGTGCACTGCTTCAAGTCCCAGTTGCTCCATTTCCGATCCAGCTCTCTGCTGTGGCTTGGGAAAGCAGTAGAAGATGGCAGCCTCTGGTCGTTGCAACCAACTTGGAGAGTGAACCAGGAGATGGAAGACCTCTCTCTCTGCCTCTCCTCTTTCTATGTAAATCTGACTTTATAATAAATAAATAAATCTTAAAAAATACCAAAAAAAAACCACTCGTAAATATGCTTAAAGTAGGTGAGTACATTTATAACATATTTGCTTACCTGCTGCATTTGTGTTCTTAATGCTTCCTTAATCCTGTTGTAGTCGTCTTCAGTTACACCTCTCATTTCATTTCTAGGCTATTTCAGATATGCACACTATCTGAAAATCTATGACAAACCCGTCTCTTAAAACTACTTAAAAACATTATGAAACTCACAAGAACTATTTGACAATTTCCTGCCAACTTGAAGAAAATTTGTACTCAACGTTTTTGCTCATTTTCAGACTCAACTGTTGCACTCTTGGCCTGCAGGTGAAAACTTATGTGTAAGTATTACACAGATTTAATGAAAGTAATACTCACGAGGGGTCATTGATGACTGTCTTCAAGGCATTGAGCAAATCTTCACTTGACATTGTTTTCCAGTTCAGCCTAATGGCTGCCCCCTTGGCCGTCATGTGGGCAATATTATCAGGTTGCTCCCCAAACAAAGGAAGACCCACCATAGGGATGCCATGGTGGATTGCCTCATAGATGCCATTGGCTCCACCATGAAATACAAAGGCTTTGGTTTTTGGATGACCTAGGATTGAGGGATTTTCAATAAGATTATTATGTATGTCTCAGAAATGAAATATGAACAGAATTACACACTGAAGGGAACCATTATCTCTAGATAACAGATCATGAGAGCATTAAATCTACATTTAGATTGCATTCAGATCAAGAAGAAGAGGCACCTAAGGACATTGGAGAGATAAGTGAAGACTGTGTGGAAGAGGAATTGTGAAATTTGACTTGAGCAGTGAATACAAGATTAACATAAAGAAACAGGATATTCCAGAAAAAATAAAATTCATATTCAAAAATTGAAGCTGAGTGCACTTTGAACATTTTTTTAAAAGATATAGTGCATTCCTCTGACATCAAAATCATCCCTTAAAGCATTCTGGTCAAGATGAAAGGTCCATTTCAGGCATGGAAAACCAAGAGACTGTGGCAACAAATTGTTGTACATGAAAGACCTCATTGGGTGAGACCCCCCCAGAGGAAAGAAGTGGTCATCAAAGAAGGAGGTGAAGTAGGCAGGCATGTAGGTTAAAATTGATTAGGTTTGTGAGTTGGAAGACCATGGCTTCGCCACACCCCTGTGTGACCTCACACCCTACCTGATCACACCAGGGTGTCCACCAACCAATCAGGTTATTTAACTACTCCACTTCGGAAGTGGATTAAAATCCTGGTACACAGTGTGTCTGCCCCTTCTCTTTGGCCCTGACCTCTTGCCAGTAGGGGGCTTGCTGTAGCCCTGCGCCTCCAGGGCGAATGGCCTTTGGACCATGCACCCTAGGCTTCCAGGCCTAGATGCTCCTCCACGTGGCTGGTTCCTGGTACTCTGTATGAACCCATATTTATCTCTCTCTTAAATAAAGCTCTCACTCTCCTATGCATCATTCTCACTAAATAAGAGCTTAAAATGTTACCATGCTGCCGCCATTATTTGTGCTGGTATTTAGAATTCTTCTCTAAATATTAGGCAAGAAACCTCTCAGGCTTATTAATATTGAAGATTTATTATAAAGCACATGGTGAAATAATATGGCACCCAAATTCTGGTAGCATATGTGGAACCCCAATGCCGATTCTGGGGAACTCTAAAGGGGCCACATTTCAGTAAAGATTTTAGAGGGCAATGTCCGATTTCAGAGGTGCTTTCCTCTGAAGGGAGAAGAGAATTTCCACTTTGCTCATGGCCTTGTCTAAATACTTATGGAGTCTGTGGATTCAAACGGCTTTCAGAACCTATGCAGTTCATGTCAAGAGCCTGGGGTGATCACAGACATCACACATTACAGTGTTAATTGTTAAATTTAGAGCAGGAGTCACTATCCACTAACTTCCCATGCAGGACCTCTGTAGTCAAAGAGTTGAAGTATAATTATGTCTAAGTGCTTGTCAAAGATGTGTTGGCTGTTCTTTGGATGTTTCTTTAATTAAAGTTAATTCTTAGATGTTTCTTTAAAGTTAATTTTCTAAAAAAAAAATGAATTATCTTCAAGATGCAGTAACTTTGAACAGACTTTGTCTCCATTGTTGAGGAAACAATTGTTTTCATGCAAATTGTTGAGCTTGTTATTTAACATAGAGTTGGTCTTCTACATATAAAGTCAAATCGAAAATGGATCTTCATGGAGAATGAGAATGAGAATGAGAGAAGGAGGAGGTAGAGGGTGGGAGTAGGGATGGGAGGATGGGTGTGTAATCACAATATTCCTAAAGTTGTACTTATGAAAACATTGAGTCCGTAGTCCTTAAATAAACGTTTCTTTCAGAAAAATAAAATTAAATACAATTAAATTCATAAAATAAAAACCAAAAGAGCAAAAACACAAACCAAAAAAGATATAGTGCATTCACTAAGTCTGTTTTTGAGGTGCCCCCAAGCAACCAGGAGTGGTACTGTGGCAGTACTGAAAACCGACAAAGTACAGCCAACCACTTCATTTTGAAACATGCTATCACTTCACAATAAAGACTTTTCCCATAGGAAATGCAGGATCATTCATAATAAGAAAGTGTGTTGTTTCCAGAGGCTTTCGAAAACAACACAGTGAGAGGACAGAAATAATATTTGAATTAGGAGACAGAAAATGCAGGAAATTGTTGAAAGTGAGAGATATTTTGATTCAGCCATAAAACATGGTAATGTGCATTTAAGAAATGCTCAGTGTTTTAGGTTATTATTTCTCCTCGAGCTAGGAAATAATTTTAAATATGTTTGATGCTGAGTTTCTCCATAAGATGTGGCCATGCAGATTCAGTTAAACTATTATCATCCGAATTGGCTTTTATTTGTGTTTCAGCAATTGTTCTCCAGAGTCTTACCAAGAAGATAATTCTGGGGGATCCAAGTCATAGATCCGAGTGTTGGGTCCTAATGTTTCTGTTTTCTGGCCATCAAATCTCCATATAACCTATTAGATAAAGAGAATATCTAACCCATGAGCTTAATTTCAAATGATAGTGTATTGCAATTCTAATGCATTTCAGAGGTACCTAGCTAATTACTGTCCATAGAAAGAAGGATGAGGGCTTAAGTAATGAGAACTACTAAATGTCTGAGGTAAATAGAGGGCTTTACCTTTCTTCCAGTACTTTGTTGTATAAGCACTCAGCTGTGGAAAGTACCATGATGTTTCACATGTAGCAGCTAGTAGGTGAGATGATGAATGAAAAAAATCAAAGTATTTAATTACAGTACATACTTTCATGTTAAAAGTGTATTTTCTGTTACAATAACATCTTATTATAATATTAAGGTTTTTTAAAAAATAGAGTGGAAGTTTAGTTATATCCATGTTTTCATAATTTCTTTATGATTTCACATCTTTTAATTGATAAAAAGCAATTCTGTATGATCAAAAATATGTGAGAAATAAATTAATTCTGCTTAGGAACTACATATCATTTGTTTTAGATTACAAATTATTAAACACTATTTCTAAGAAGAATTTCAAGTTGCAACTTTGCAATGAATCCAAAATATTATAATTCTTGCTAGAGTTGGAAATATTTTAAAAGTACAGGGAAAGGCTAATTCATGTATAGTACAGCAGTTGAAAAAAATCTGAAATTGTGATGCCATTAATTTTCTTCAGTTGATTTTGATCCTTCTACAATGAACTATAAAGCATCGAGAGACATGATTGATAGTGCTGCTATACCTAATCACCATGCCCTGTACTAAAGTCTGCTACAGGCTTAGGAATTTCTGAGAATTTCTCATAAATTGAAGTATAAACCAGAAGTGCTTCACTTGCTGGATGCTCTGTGAGTCTTAAATTCAGCTCCTCAGCACAAATAGATGATGATGATGATGATGATGATAATTTAGGTGATTAATAGACAGCTTATCATGAATTTAAAAAAAATGGTTTCATAAATACCTACAGATAAAAGATACCATTGGCATAACATTAGAACAATTAGGTTCTATGCTGTATTTTCTTGAATCGCGGAGCAACCTGAACTTCTTCCTATGCCACATGTTGTCTCTAATGATTTCCTTACTACCCCTCACCCTGCCTCCCTTACCAAACCCAGAAAAAATCTATTAATGTGCCTAGATTAGAAACCAATTTCTTAGGGGCCAAATTTTGTACTGGCATGGAGTGCAACCTCTGTTTACAACCCTCCTCCACTCTTTCTCTTACACATTCAGATTTAAACATTGATGGAGTCCAGTCCCAAGGGACTGGCTAGAATTTTTTACCCCTTTCTCTAAACTTCTTAGCTAAGTATGTGACAATCTGGCCGGTGGGATTGGTGAGACATGATCCTCCTTTGTTGAAATAGATTTGTGAGTAGAACTATGAATAGACCCATTCACACATTGGGGGAATCAAGAAGCTATATGGGAAAATCTAAACTGTATGATGTACTTCAGATATTTTTTCATATCCACCTATATTCATTATGCAGACAGCAATTAACATTTAAATCTTTTCTAATAATCTTTAGTGCATACAATGGTGTTGGCATTGCTTGAAGGCAAAAGATCAAAGAATAGGGTAAAATCTGGTGATTTCTATGTACCTGTCTGCTTTTTTAGGATACTAATAAACCTTTGGGGCCAGTCTGTGGCATAGTGGGTAAAGTTACCACCTGCAGTGCTGGCATTCCATATGGGCACAGATTCCAGTCCTGGCTGCTCCACTTCCTATCCAACTCTCTGTGACATGAAAAGCAGTAAAAGATGGCCCAAGTCTTTGGGCCTTTGTATCCACCTGGGAGACCTGGAAGAAGCTCCTGGGTCCTGGCTTTGGATCGGCACAGCTCCAGCCATTATGGCTATCTGGGGAGTGAACAAGTGGATGAAAGACTTCTCTCTGCCTCTGCCTCTGCCTCTGCCTCTGCCTCTGTGTAATTTCTCATTCTTTCAAATAAATAAATAAATAAATAAATCTTTTCAAAAAACTTAAAGTTTATGCTATATCTACAAAATATATTTATTTCTAATCACAAAAGATTACCAGAGTTATTTGAAATCAAAACCTTCAGCACTCCTTTAGCATCTTAGAAGTCTCTGTTTTTAAATTGATATTAAGAAGAATTAGAACTATCATAACTGTTTAACATTTCAAAAAAGAAGTTTCTGTAATCAGTCCCTTTACAGAGTTAAACAATCATCCAGGTAGCTCTCCCCACCATTAGGATACTTTTTCTAACCTTTTGTGCAGCTGGGTAAAGGCCGATGCAATCACATTGGCCCTTTCTTCTGTCATGGTGCGACCATGGACCCCAGGGAAAACACCACCACTCCCTTTCTCCAGAGCTCTGCACAAACTCTTCCATTTCCTGTGAAGAAAAAATTGGCACCATCACAAAAGAGCAAGCCACACAGCAAACACTAGTGAAAAGATTGCTAAGAACAACAAAGGAAATAACAGCATTTATCAGGAATTATTGGCAGTAGTAGCTGATGTAACATCCATGGTATGCAAAATTTGCCAGTTATCCATTTCTTAGTTTAAAGGTATTGGTGTGAAAACCATGTCAACAATTTTTTTTCTGATAACTGAACGTTAAACACAATGTACATTCTAGGATATATATAAAGAATATATCCTAATCCACATTTCTTTTGTTATGAGAAACATCATGGCTCTTTTTCTATTTATCTTCTTTACCCCTGCTGTTTTCAACAAACCCTCCTTTTTGGAATGATTTGGTGTGTTAAGGATTCTTTGCTAAAGGAATTGTAATGGTATGGCCTACACATATATATGTTATTTGTTCATTCCTTGTGATACTGGCTATTTAGTTATTTCCATATTTATTTAGAAATAACTGCTGTACCTATTGATTACACATGTTTATTTCCTCCTTATATTTTCATATCAGTATATTATATGACCCAAACATAGAAGCTATTTAAGATCTCACTTGTCTAATTTCTCAGAGTAGAGATATCTGAAAAATTGATAATTCATGAAAATCAAGTTATTATGGAATAAAGGTAGTACTAACAAAAGAATAAGAGAGATTTCACAATCAATGCCTTTGATTCAAGGCTCATTCCTGTAGTTATTTCAAATTATTATCAACCCATCTCATTGTTTTCCTTTGTCCTTCAACTTTTTGTATTATTTTCTTAACCATTAATATTCAACTTACGAATGAACAAATGTTATTCCACTGTGTATAATTAACATATTTTCTTTATTTGTTCATCAGTAGTTGGATACATGGGTTGTATCCATTTATTGGCCAATGTGAACAGTGGAGCAATATACAGAAGTGCAGGATGTTTCAGACTAAAATCAGTTCCTTTTGGTATCACACATTTTTATTTTGAACTGTGACTTTTAATAAACCATATTTCTCACACTCTCACACAGCACCACATGAGGATGGTATTCTTAGATGATCAGCAATAATCTTGTTTATGAATGTTAACTTTTAGCTACATATCATCTGTAGTGAAACTGTGTATGTTTGTGTGTCTGTGTGTGTGCTTTAAGGTTTACTTATGTAATTGAAAGTCAAAGTTACTAAGAAAGAGAGGGAGAAACAATGACAAAGACAGAGACAGAGAGAGAAAGAGAGAAGAGAGAGAGAGAGAGAGAAAGAGAGAGGAGAGAGAGAGAATGAATCTTCCATCTGATGGTTCCCTCTCCAAAGGGCCACAATGGCTAAGGCTAAGCCAGGCTGAAGCCAAGAGCCAGGAGCTTCATCCGGTCTTTCATGTGGGTGGCAGGAGCACACATTTAGGCTATCTTCCACTGATTTCAAAGGCCATTAGCAGGGAGATGCATAGGAAGGGAATCAGCTGGGACTGTCACCCTTATGTGATATCCGTGTTGCAGGCAGTGGCTTTACCCACTATGCCACAACACCGGCCCCGGTGTCTGAACTCTTACAGCAACCTCCTGAATGATTCTTCTTTCCTCAGTCTTGGCTCTGGCTCTGTGCAGATGAATCAATCACTGTAACTGCAGGCTTTAAAAAAAAAAAAAAACTTTATTAAAAGATTAGAATATGTTTCATGTATTTCATATATACAATTCTAAGAAGAAAACCATACTTCCCTCTTTGGTCATATCTCTCCTCGCTTTATCTCCTCTCAGGTCCTCTTTCCAATGCCCTCACTAGGTATTTTAACTTATTCATTTTTTCTGGATACAGATTCTCTCTCTAGAGAAATCAACCTTATAGTCAACTTAATTCTCTTATACTAAACTCTACCTTTTTTTTTTTTTTAACAGAATCTCTTAGGTAATACACACGGTTCTCCAATGATCACGAAATCTGAATATTGTGATTGTCTAGAAGATATGTGTTTGTAGTTAATAGGCCACTTTATCTGGTTTTATAACTTTCTCCCTATGCCCAAATGTTCTAAATGAACAATGAAAGATCATGTGCACTGAAAATGCAAAAGAAACAGAACAGAGCAAATAGGAATCTGTTTACCTTGGGCAGAGGTTTGGCAGGTTTGCAGTGGAGCCCTCCAACAAATTGAATATTTGGTAAGGTTGGGCGAGGAAACTCCAAGTCCCAGTAGCTTCGAATAAGACAGGTCAGCTTTCCCCACTAGCTCTGAGAATGTAACAGGTCTTCCTGAATGGGGAGAGAAAAGGCAAGGTAAAGAGAGAATTGTGATGTGAGGTATTGCATGTAAAGTTCTGAGAGATGTTGAAGTGATACAGTCAGTGACGATATGAGTACCCTGTACACATTCTTTACATATTAGATATATACAAACCCAATGAAAAGAGAGCTTGTGCCTCTATTATCACCTCTGTATATACAAAATCATGCTCAGTATAATAATCCACAATAGAATTAGATGCATATTTCTTTTTTCTGTAAAGTTGCAAAAGTAGCAAATGCAAATTTAAACAACTATGTTAGATACAGAAGGGAACATAATCTTGAATAGAACTTTCCTGGCAGTACTCAGTCTGGTTTCTGCAATTTAGCAAGCTGGAGCCAGTATGGACTTTCCGGGTGAACTGTGAGGTCTTCTTTGTCCTCTCCTCCTGCTTATTTTCTTTTTTTTTTTTTTTTCTCCTTCTCCTCCTCCACCTCTTCCTCCTTCTTCTACTTCATTTATGTTTATTTGAATAAATACAGAATGAGGGTTTATTTGAATAAATACAGAGAAATCTTCATCTGCTTATTCATTCCCCAAGTAGTTACAAGAGACAAGGCTAGGCAACCCTGAAGCCAGGAACCATGAAGTCCTTGTGGTTCTCCCAAATGGGTGGCAGAGACCCAAGTACTTGGGCCATCACCATCTGCCCTCTGAGCATATATGAAGGAAGTTGGATCAAGCACTCTCGTATGGGATGCAAGAGTTCCAACCAACACCAGCCCCAAACTGTGAGATGTTTAAGAGTGTGGCTGAGTTCCTTGTACTGATTGTTGTTTGGGGTTCACTTAAAGAAAATACCAATATTTATTTACACAGAAATTGATATATAAATAATTGTGATCATGCTTATTTTTAAATTATAAAACAGTACATTTGTGTTCACCCTAGTTTCATCTCATTTTTAGTCATGAAAGATAATTTAAGAAATAGAGTAGGCTGGTGCTGCAGTTCATTAGGCTAATCCTCTGCCTGCGGCGCCAGCACCTGGGTTCTAGTCCCGGTCAGGGTGCCAGATTCTGTCCCAGTTGCTCCTCTTCCAATCCAGCTCTCTGCTGTGGCCCAGGAAGGCAGTGGAGGGTGTCCCAGGTCCTTGGGTCCTGCACCTGCATGGGAGATCAGGAGGACGAACCTGGCTCCTGGCTTCAGATCGGTTTAGCATGTTGGCCGTGGCAGCCATTTTGGGGGGTGAACCAACTGAAGGAAGACCTTTCTCTCTGCCTCTCTCTCTCTGTCTAACTCTGTCAAAAAATGGACTAATTACATATATATCTATTCTTCAGTGAGATATTCATAAATAGATAACAATGTAATATGGAATCAATAGAATCCTCAAATAACAGGTTTTTTCAGTCTGTGATAAAACATTGTATATATCAATTGTGAAAGAACCATTTAGGTTATATTGAAAAATTCTTTAATTTTTAAATAAGGAAACCCTTGCACACCAGGTAAACAATTTACTCAATGATTCTTAGATACTTGGGCTAAAATGTGTAGCAATTTGATTTTCATGCTTTCATCCATCAAGATATTAGGGATGAAAATAAATTAAAATTAATATAGATGTTAGTGAAGTATCTCCTGACTTTTCTATACCATGAGAAAATTCTGAAAAAATGGACATGGAAGTCCTTAGAGAAATCTTCAGGGTTCCAGCTGCAGTTGTGTGACTTCCTAGGATGCCATATCATGGTGATGAGCCTCCGGCTTCTAGCTCACCTGGAATATAAATCTATCCATAATGTCTGAGAGATTGATAAAT